TATGAGTATCTTCAAAGCTCTCTACAATTTCATCAATAATATCTTTTCTTGGACAAACAAGGTTAGTTTCATCAAATACAACATGTATTGATTCCTCAATAGTCATGGTTCTTTTGTTGTATATTCTATATGATTTGCTATTTAGAGAGTATCCAAGAAATATTCCCTCATCAGATTTAGCATCAAATTTTCCTAAGTTATCTTTTCCATTATTAAGTACAAAGATGAAGAGTAAAATGGCTTAGGTTTTCTGAAATGGCTTAAGCCTTTTTTTGGCAGATTGTAATCTTAAATTTTTTCTGAAATGACTTAAGCCCTTTTGATTTGGCTTAAGCCTTGTTGAGTTAATAGAGATTAACATATTTTCTTCCATGAATCTTTTCGAACTTTAATTCTTTTCTTTATCTTGATTTCTCTTCTCTTAACCTACAAAGCAAAACCACCATAATTAACCAAAAATTACTATAATTTGATTGGATTGAATTTCTATAATATAATTTACATATTTGTATATAATATTCACATCCTTGGGCAATTTATAACGGGAAAAAATGAAAGCATGCCATTTTACACAATAATATTCATGAAATTCAAGTAAAAATGACAACTAATAGGTTAGCAATTTTATATAAATACGTTAGTAAGGTTAGTGTTGCCTTACAAACACTAAGGTTCAATCATTGAAAGCCACATCATTTAAATTGACTTGTCACATTAATTTATATTTAAAATAAAATTAACTGATTTTGTTAGTTTCCTCGCCTCATTCACTTATTTATTGTCCACGTATTCATATCTCAGACACACTTTCTTATAATTCTGTGATACATATTCCTTCTATCATTTAGATCTTCATAAAAAAATAAAAATAAAAATAAAAAAACTTCAAGCCAAAGATATTATTAAACTCAAGTAACCACTTCCCTTACCAAAGACATCTAAATTTGCATACGATACATGAGAACAATTTCAAGAAGACTTTTCTGAAAATTTCATGTGTGTTTCAAGAAGCCATCTGTATAACCATTTGTGCACTTAAATTTATTCCTTGGAATTTGGAGCACAACCATTTGACCAAATTGAAAATTTCCAATATTGAGAAAACTAATGAACATAAGCTTTCATACATTCACATGTTGGATGGTTACCATCCTAGTTGCATGTAGCATTTGCACCACATAAGTCATAATTCTTGCATTGATCTTGCTCCCAATTTGAGACAACTTTTCAGGCTTAGTCTTTGCACCACATAAGCCAAAATGTCAAATGAATGGACATCAAAGGAAGAAAATCAAAATTGTGTAAGATGTGGAATCCAATTTATGTGAATGAGAAAATTATGGAAGAAAACCAGAAACGAAGCAGAGAACCATGGATGAAATACCACAGAAACCTCACATGAACTATGGAAGAAACAAACGAGACTTACTCCAGCCTCTTTTCTCATGTGACCCATGTAACCCCTAACTTTTCTGAAACAATATTGTTATTTTTTTTCTAATCCGATCCAAAATTTAGATTTTGTTTTAACCTTAACAGTTTTTTGAAACAAACTGTTAATGTTGTTTTAATTCAGTGTGAACCTTGAGAAATGAGAATTGTCAGAAGCTGTGTCTGGAAACTGTTGTTATGTAGCTTGTGCAAATTAAGATATCTGTGGTAATGGAAGTGGTTGGTCTACTTGGACTTATAATCTGATTGGCTTGAGACAATTTTTCAATAGGGACGTGAATGAGAGAAGGAATATGAAACAGAACAAAAAACGTGTGTGAGAAACAAATAGGTGAACCAAATGTAAGTGAATGATGTGACTTTGTTTCTCGTGACTTGAATTTCGAACGATACAGTACGGTATTTTAACGTGAATTACTGAATTAATTATTTTGCCTCACTTGTTTCTCCTCGGCCTTTATGAGGCCGGCAAAAAATTGGAATACAATATTCATATTCTATGATTCCTTTAACTCTACTGATAAGATTTTCAGTAGCAGCCAGTTAGACAAATTTAATTTTTTGTATGTGGTCAAACTGCAGTTCTGGGCATTTTTGTGGTCTTACTTTGTGTTATTTATGAGTGCGATGGTGGGGAACCACAATGCATTGCATACAAAGTTTGTGGATTATAAGTAGCAAGAATTTTCAAAGATTCAACCCAAAGCAATTGACCACTCACCAATCCGCAATTCATGCCCTTGCAATCCTTTATCAAACAAAATAAATATCTTACAAAAGTTTCACTCAACCTCAAATGTGTATCAAAAAATCCAATGTACAACCTCTCTTTGTGGTCAAAACAAGTTAAACTAAGTTTGTTTTTTAAGTGAATATATATATATATATATATATATATATTTATTCATGGATCATATCAAGTAAAAGGGAATTTATTATAAGAGATGAGAAGGTTAAAATATAACCCTTAATTAATCAAGTGAGAGAAAATTTGGGGTTTAATCAAGTGAGAGGAAATTAATCTAAGGGTTATATTTTAACCTCTCATCTCTCAAGTGAGAGAAAATTTGGGGTTTAATCAAGTGAGAGGAAATTAATCTAAGGGTTATATTTTAACCCTCTCATCTCTCATAATAAATTCTCTCTTGATATGCTCCATATATATATATATATGAGGAGGGATTCATTTATTTTAGTAGTAAGTCTACCTAAATTTATTCTGTTCAATAACTCATGTTCAACATCAAATTTTAACGATCAAACCGTTGAATTCCTAATGTATAAATCAAATCTGCAAATTTTAAAAAAATTTGAAAATTATTTGATAACTCGTTTCATTAATTCAAATTGATGGATAATCATAAAATCATTTTATACATTAATTTGAATTAATGAAACGAGTTATCAAATAATTTTCAAATTTTTTTAAAATTTGCAGATTTGATTTATACATTAGGAATTCAACGGTTTGATCGTTAAAATTTGATGTTGAACATGAGTTATTGAACGAAATAAGTTTAGGTAGACTTACTTCTAGAGTAACAGATTTCCCTTCTCTCTCCATATATATATATATATATATATATATATAGAGTATTGTTATATCAATTCATTAAAATTTAACTTTGGTTTTTATATAATAAATATCTCTCAATCCATATTATTTTGGTTAACATACTTAAAAATGGTCAAAATAAATTACAATAGGAAATCACACAACAAATAAATAATAAATTAGTGTTATGAATAATAATTAGTGACTTAATTAGTGGATGTCAATATTCATTATCAATCATTACTATTTATATTTTTGTTGTGTATTATTCATTTTTTATGTAATTGTTCAGCTATCACATGTACTTCTATAAATAGGTTAATCATCTCTCAAAGATAATATATTACTCAAATTATTTTCTTCATCTCGTCTCATATTATCTTATTTGTTATCTCTATTTTTCTTTCTTTTATAACACGTTATCGGCATGATAGTCTTTATTCCATTAGAGTTAACATAATAGTCTTTTCTCCATTAATATTGCAACATACAAGACAATGTTGTGAAAAAAAAAATTATCGAGGAAAGTCATATTTTTTCAAATTCATATTTCAATGCTATATATTTTATTTTTATTCATATTCTTCATATTATTTATTTTATAGAGTATTTGTATTGTTCATATCATTGTGAAATTTAAATATAATTGGTCTTGAAGACAAAATCAAATAAAAAAAAATTAAGAATACTTTTTTTCTCACCAGAAGCGGGAAAGTTGTGCAACAATGAAAATAAAAGAATATTTCTTTTTTATCACTGGAAGTGAGAAAATAATATGAAAAGTTAAAAGAAAATAAATTTCACCGAAAGTGGAAAATTTTTCCAAAATATGAAAAAGAAAAGGATAGATAAAAAAAATATGATATAAATATTATGTTTGATCCTTTGATATAAATAGAGTACCATCGAAAGTGGAATAATTTTGTCAAGGTCATTGTTACAATATTAAATGATATTTGGAATAATTACAAAAATTGTGGATAGTGAAGTGATCTAAAATCTTTTTAGGTTTATGTGTGATTTCTTGAAATAATTATGAATTTTCTACTTTTGTAATTTGATATTGTTCCTAATCGAATTGGCTGAAATAATTGGCATGTTAAGTGATTGAATTTGCGTGTTGTTCTAATAAATCTTAAAGAGTTTGACTTCAAAACCTATTAATAGAATTGATATTATTTGTTTTCATAATGTTATGCATCCATTATTTTAATTGATGGAGATATCATTTAATTATAATTTGATTATGATTTGTATAGGAATGATAGAATTTAAGAAAAATATGATCTTTTATTTTCTTGATTTTTTGATATAGCATTTATAGAAAAAATAATTTTCCTAACTTTAGCATTATTTTTTTCCTTTAAAATCAGCCTATTAACAACATAAATATAATTTTCTTACATATTTTTTTAGAAAATATTTTATCATTTTGTTATTAATTATTATAATGAGAAATTTTCATTTTTCTTTTATAACAATTAGGCATTTATTTGAATACTCTATAAATCAATTGTTTTACAGTTTGATAGAAAAACTACTTTGTGGAGTCCACCTCCCGGTCAATCTTTATATAATTGAATATTATTAATTATTTTTTATAAATTTTAAAACTCAAATATATGTGATATAAAAAATGGTCAAAAAGTTTAATACAATTCATAGATAATTAAATTCTCTAATCATGCTTATAAGAGTTTGAATTACAATTTCAATAATTTTTATATTTTAAAAATTAGTTTTAAATTATTGATAAGAAAACATAAAATACAAGATTATGGTCAAAATATAATAAATCAAATAAAAAAAATCATTAAAATAATACTTGTTCAGAAAAATATAACTTACAAAAATAAATTAATCATTAGTTTTTAATTTTGAAATATTGTATAAATTATGTTGACAAAAAAGAATTGTCATGTCATTCCGACGTGGCTTTGAGAATTAAGGAACATTTAGTTTTGGGATAAAGCAACAGTGCCTGCAATTAAAGTCTTTTTCCTGTTTTCTCAAGTCTCTTCATTATTTAAACCAAAGCTAGGTGACGCCCGGTGCACGGGGAGAGAATTGAGAGAAAATGGCTTTGTTTTCAGTTAAGTTGAATTTTGTTGTTCATCTTATGCTTCTCGTCTCTTTCACCAAACAAGCCTTAGGTGTGTCAGTGAGCAGCAAGGTATTGGCCGAACAAGAAGCAGACAGAGTGTATGAATTACCTGGTCAGCCTAAGGTCAAGTTCAAACAATATGCTGGTTACATCACTGTTAATCAAACTCATGGCAGAGCACTCTTCTATTGGTTCTTTGAAGCCACACACAAATCGCAACAACAACCTCTTCTCCTTTGGCTCAATGGAGGTATCTTTTTCTCATAACTCTCTTCCTCAGATATGCATGTCACGCCTTTTTATTTAGTATTTACTGTCATGTTTTATCATATAACATCACGCACTTCTGATAATCTTTAATCTTCGAAAATATCTTTAGTTCTAACCAAAAATATGAACACATGTATATTATATTTTATATGAAATAACTATTGACGTCTAAGTCTTGCCAATTAATGAATGATTGTGACAAGTAATGTTGGTATTCGTATATCATCACATCACAATTCCGTAACAACTACAATGCTTTAATTTTTTTTTTTTTTTAATCTATAGAAATTAAACTTGGTATTAAAAAATTTACCACACTTTCTCATCTCTGCTTGACTTCAATGGTAAATATTGATTTAGTCAAAAATATTGAATTGGTTTTTCGTTGCACCAATATAATGCTTAGCATTATTGTACAAAGAAAAGGACTTTACTATTTCATTAAAACGGTTATTAATGTTATGGGGCATAGACAATTAATATAGATGTAAACTTTTTTTTTTTATTTCGACAAGAGCGAACCAACTTTGCCACATTCATGTTACTATTTTTGTCTCATAAACATTTTGTAAGACGAAAAATAAGTGTTATTTGAATTTTTAATATAATCTTAACTATTTTTTATTCATATTAATTTTAATAATATTCTGTAGGAAGTTGTTGTTATATTACATCGGTTTTACAACAAAAAAAAAATAGTAAAATTAATTTTATAAAATTATTCTTTGTATCTATTTTTTTTATCATGTAATATTTATTACAGGACGGAGAATGTAACAATTATGCTCACATTCGTTATAATTAATAATTAATTAATGAGTTTTTTCTTGATCATTCTGCCAATGTCATATTTAATTAATAATTAATTAATGTCATATTTAATTCATAGGTTACGTAATGGTTTTCCAAATTCATTATTTTAGCTTACCGTCGGATATTAAAAAACGAAAAATACAAACAGAAAATAAAGGGGCAAAGAGTCAAGAAAGGATGTAGCTATAGCTTATTCAGTTGCTTTAGGTCAACAAGATGCGTTTTGTTTAGTCACTAAAACGTTATTTTCCGCTTGCCATTAGCACCCCTTCTTATAATATTGAGTCGTTCTAATATTATTATGGATTATGAGGTCAATAAAATAAATAAAAATAAAAAATATTATAAGAAAAAAATTAATTGGATATGGACCAAACATGTGATTATTGGAATTTTGATCGAAGTTTCGGTCAATGGCTTCAAGCCTTCAACTTGCAGCAGAAACTGCCATAATGAAATCGGCATTGAAGTAATGAATATTGCTTTGAACCCAAGTGAGAAAACCCAACTTTTTCTTGTGTTGATAGGAACATAAAGTTAAGAATACTTTAGATTAGTAATACCACAAAAAAAATTAGGGGATGATGAAACAAAATTAACGAAGCATGGACATAAAAAAAAAAAAAGTTAAATAAGTTTTTTGTCTCTAAATTTTTTAAAAAATTGTTTTTTAGTCTCTAAAATTTTTTTGTTAATTTTTAATCATCCACTAATTTTTTGTCCAATAAATTAGTCATTTAAGATTAAGTGTCATTTGATAGATGGTGACTGTCTCGACTATTAATGCTCACATAATTACTTAATAAATGTCAAATCATATGACATGTAATTTTACTATAATTTTTTTATTAATTCATGGTCAAATATTTTTTTTTTAAATAAAAATATTTTAAAAATAAATCTTCACCCCTATAGCCATGAATAAATAGTAAAATTTTACACATATGATTTAACATTTATTAAATAGTCACGTGAATATCATAAGTCAAGTTAACATGATTTGTTTGCATATATATCATCACTTAATAGAGTAAATTTAACTTCAAAGACTAATTTATGCTACAAAAAATAATAGAGAACTAAAAATTGACAAAAAAATTAAGAGGAACTAAAAATCAAATTCTTGAAAATTTGAGTGACTAAAAACTTATTTGGAAAAAAAAATCTAACAAAATTATTTGTTAACCATTTTATTATGATTTTTTTTTCATATCTAAAAATCAATCTTGAGTCGATGTATTGCTCCTGTAATTGATTCCTGTTAGTATTAAAATAATAATTAACTAATGAAAATGTTATTTTGTGAACACAAATTATTCCTCAGATGATAATATTAAAATACTATATGGATCATGTTTATAAAAAATAATAAAAAAATATTAAGTTGTTATCATGATTTTTTTTTTCTTAAAACATGTTTATGTAATTTCATTAATAATCAATTGCTCGATACAAGAAAAAACATGATTAAAAGTATAAAGAATAGATAAAGATGGAGTCATCTTAACAAGCTTTTCAACCATACTATTTGTTCGCCTCTTAGCAAAATCAATATCATTGATTGGATCGAGAAGAAAATAACAATTTTCTACTAAAACTTTTAACTAAGATTTATGAATAGCTAAATTATTTTATTTTATCTATGACTACTTTGTTATCCAATTCAAAAATCTCATTGTTCCTAGCACAAGAGACAACAAATTAATTGTCGACAACAATGTTACTAATTAATGTCATCACGAATAAAAACAACCGGCACCACTCATACTGTACTCGTACAGTTTTGCTCATGAAAAAAAAAAAAATATATATATATACGTATATACTCAAACATTAACATTAATTATCCATGCGTATTACGTGACCTGAATCTGCCGTTGTAAAAGTATGTGGACTAATAAAACACAGTAATTTTAAGAATCAATTTCCCAAGTTTTATTATATTAAAAAAAGTGCAGACGGAGAAGCAGAAGAGCAAAATGAAAGGAAAAGTGTCATAAAAAATGAGGACTAGTGTGAAAGAATAATTTTTGTATTTTCAGTTGATGGCCATCTTAAGCACGTGCATCATCTCTCAGATCTAGAGTTATAAAAATGATAGTAGGGACCATTTCTAATGTAGACTCCCTCTGGAAAGTGATCTGGTATGTGACCTTCAATGTTAGTGATAGACATGGCTTCCTCTAACTCCTCCACCGGAGCAAAGTTACTCTGCAAGCAAAATAACTATATATTAATTAATAAATATTAAAAATTCATTTGTGTTATCGTGACATCTTCATCTACATTTTCTAAAATTAAATATTTGATAGAAATTCACAGATCGGTGCTTATTATACAACATGGCTTTTGATGTATATTTTAATTTTCATATTAGCTTGTGTGTTTTGACGAGAAATTTAAATAGAAAATTTTATTTATTTGAAGAATTTTAATTTTTTTGAGATAAAATATTTTGTTTAGATATAGAATTTTCAAAGAATTTAAAATTCAAGTATTTATGAAAATTTTTAAAATAGTAAAATTTTAAATTCTCTCAAAAAAGTAAGAATTTGAAATTTTTTATATTTATTTTTCTTATTTCACTTATATATTTTATTTTATCTCTTATCTCTTTATTCTTTTAATTATTAAATATTTAAAAATATTTTTAAAATTATTAAATATTATATAATATTAATTTTTAAAATTATTAAATATTTTAAAATTGACTAATATTTATTTTTATAAAATTTAATTTAAAAATCTCAATACATGAATATATTTTTAAAATCAATTTTATCATAGAGGAATCAAATTATCATATCCAAACTAAAAATTTAAAATTTTAAAAATTTGAAATTAATTTTTCCAAATAAAATATTTTAAGAATGATAGAAATTAAAATTAAAATAATTCAAATATCAATAATTTTAAATTCCTTAAATTTGTAAAATTTCTCATCCAAACACACCATAAAACTACCATTAGATTGTTTTTAGTAATTCATGATAATAACTTAATAACTTTTATTTTGGTATTTCTTATGTATACGCTTTTCTGATATCCAATCTTTTAAATATTTCATTATTTTCTTTTTGTGAAAGTTTTGGAGTTCAAACATTTTCATTGTTATTCTAGAAAAAATTATAGGAAGATTTTGTCAATAGTTAATTTTTTATTATTACAATATAAATTATTTATCTTAAATATAAAATATAATTTATATATTAAAAAAATTTAATTTTAACATAATTTATATATTCAAATTGATTAACTTATTATAATTTTTAATTATATAAAAATAAAACCTTACAATATATATGTTAAAATACTCGTTTTATTCAAACTAATATTTGAGTTTGAGCATTATGTAAGATGAATATTTATTTGCATATGATAATAAATAAAGAATTATCAATTGTTATAATTAAAACTTTAAATAAGTAAATATTTTTAAATATGGAAATATATTTTATAATTAAGAAAATTCTACTGCACCCTTCTTAAATAAGAAATTATAATATAAAGTTCTTTTAAAATTGTGTTGTAACTTCCCAATCTTCTTGAAGGTTGTTAAACCCCGTAATGATTTAATTGTATGAAAGTTAACCTCGCGAGCAACTCCGTGTTGGAATTTGAAATATTTTATTTTATTTAATGATACCATGTGAAATACCATGTGAAATGTATAACCTATTTTCATAATTACAAAGACTAAAAAAAATTCAGTTATAAATTTGAGAGATAAAAGACAAATTTTCTCAACATTTTAAATACTAAAAATATTAAATAAATCATTACCTCAATACCTTAATACTATGTTTGGATAAAAAATTCGAATTAAGTAATTCATTTGTTTGAATAATTTCAACTTCTTTGAAGTAAAATACCTTGTTTGGATAGAGAAATTATAAAGAATTTGAAATTCATACATTTGTAAAAAATTTTAAAATAGTAAAATTTCAAATTTTCAAAAAAAGTAAGAATTTGAAATTACTCATATTTTTTTTTCTTATTTCACTCATATATTTTATCTTATCTCTTCATGTTTTTAATTATTGAATATTTAAAAATATTTTTAAAATTATTAAATATTATATAATATTAATTTTTAAAATTATTAAATATTTTAAAATTGACTAATATTTATTTTTATAAAATTTAATTTAAAAATCTCAATACATGAATATATTTTTAAAATCAATTTTATCATAGAGGAATCAAATTATCATATCCAAACTAAAAATTTAAAATTTTAAAAATTTGAAATTAATTTTTCCAAATAAAATATTTTAAGAATGATAGAAATTAAAATTAAAATAATTCAAATATCAATAATTTTAAATTCCTTAAATTTGTAAAATTTCTCATCCAAACACACCATAAAACTACCATTAGATTGTTTTTAGTAATTCATGATAATAACTTAATAACTTTTATTTTGGTATTTCTTATGTATACGCTTTTCTGATATCCAATCTTTTAAATATTTCATTATTTTCTTTTTGTGAAAGTTTTGGAGTTCAAACATTTTCATTGTTATTCTAGAAAAAATTATAGGAAGATTTTGTCAATAGTTAATTTTTTATTATTACAATATAAATTATTTATCTTAAATATAAAATATAATTTATATATTAAAAAAATTTAATTTTAACATAATTTATATATTCAAATTGATTAACTTATTATAATTTTTAATTATATAAAAATAAAACCTTACAATATATATGTTAAAATACTCGTTTTATTCAAACTAATATTTGAGTTTGAGCATTATGTAAGATGAATATTTATTTGCATATGATAATAAATAAAGAATTATCAATTGTTATAATTAAAACTTTAAATAAGTAAATATTTTTAAATATGGAAATATATTTTATAATTAAGAAAATTCTACTGCACCCTTCTTAAATAAGAAATTATAATATAAAGTTCTTTTAAAATTGTGTTGTAACTTCCCAATCTTCTTGAAGGTTGTTAAACCCCGTAATGATTTAATTGTATGAAAGTTAACCTCGCGAGCAACTCCGTGTTGGAATCAATGGATTCATTCAATTTTTGGAACCGCAAAATCATTACAATGGCTTCTTTGACTTTTCCTTTTGAATAAATATGACTTACTTTTTCGTTTACAATGATAGTGATAAGAACATGGAAGTTGAAATGTAGCATCACGTAGTTTTCGAATTAGTTTAATTTGATTTTTAAACTCATTACTATAGTCTATAGGTAGCTCATATCCTTTGTATATCACCCTTTGTATAGCTTTCCCTTTCGAAGTTGGTTATACGTTACACCTGTAATTTATTGTTTTATACCGATTAATTACCGAAAATAAATATAAATCATCGAGTTCGGCTTAATAATAAAATTAAAATAGTATGCGTTAAGTCTTACATTTAAATTATGTCATTATCAATATAATTTCTATAAAAAAATGTTTATATCCTGATATGCTATTAATTAAGTAGTAAATTTAAAGAAGTACTAAACAATTAGCTATACAAATTGATAACTGTTTGTGACACAAATGTACATTACTGCAATTAATATGAAGAAGATGCATGAATATTTTCAGGCCCTGGCTGTTCTTCAATTGGTTATGGAGAAGCAGAGGAGCTAGGACCCTTCTTTCCCCAGAACAGCAGCCAACCAAAGCTAAAGTTGAACCCTTATTCTTGGAATAAAGGTTGGTCAATTTAGATTAATAACCATGATTTTTCACTACATACCAAAACATGTTTATTTACTCACAACTTGATTTGTAATTTTTTTTAACTCTGATATTTTTGTATTATAAACATCAATATAAGTATTTATTATTTAAGAAAATGTGCTAAACATAGCAATGATCCTTTAACCAATGTGATTTCTACAGCTGCCAATCTTTTGTTTTTGGAATCCCCTGTGGGAGTGGGATTCTCCTACACCAACACCAGCAGTGATATCAGTGAGCTTGGTGACACCATTACTGGTAATGTTGCTGTCTCATCTAAGAATTTGTACTATTTTTTCTCTTGATTTTACCAAATGTGATTTATTGATGGGTACTGTACTGATTTTCCAACATCAGCTAAAGATTCACACACCTTTCTCATCAACTGGTTTAGGAGATTTCCGCAATTTAGATCACACAAGTTCTACATTGCAGGTGAAAGCTATGCAGGTATCTATGATCTAAAACACCATACATTACGAAATTAATATGATATAATATGATTTGGGCCTCTCTCCATTTTAAATAAATTTGGTTTTCTTTGACATTTCAGGACACTACGTTCCGCAACTTTCTGAGCTCATTTTCGATAATAATCGCAATCCTGCCGAGAAAGACTACATTAACTTCAAAGGATTCATGGTAAAATTCTCGAGTATAAGTTGAATACTCAAAAAATACTTCTCTTTGTATCAAATACTTGTACCTGATATGTATCAAATACGTACGGGTACACAATGGGTACGGTTGAATACTCAAAAAAAGTATGTTTTGTAAAATTAAAAAAGTATTTTTTTTTAATTGTACGTCACTTGACTATAACTTTAATAAGATTAGGTGCAATTGGGAGTACAGTTAAGTATGATATGATATCTGTGTTGTGTTCATGCAACATACTGAACCAAGGGCAAAACAAGCTCCACGTAGAATCAAAAAACAATAAGTCCAGAAGCCAAAAATAAAACCGATATTAATTTGACACAATGACATTTGGTTGTGCAGATTGGAAATGCAGCATTGGACGATGAAACAGATTCAAAGGGTATGGTAGATTATGCATGGGATCATGCTGTCATATCAGATGGATTATACCATAACATTACTACCAAATGCAATTTTAGTCTTCCAAATCAAACAGATGAATGCTCAGTGGAACTCAACAAGTACTTCGCTGTGTATAGGATTATTGACATGTATAGCTTGTACGCTCCCAAGTGTTTCAGCAACAACAGCAATACCAGAAAGGAAACCACTGTTGTCAGAAGCACAACCCCTCAAACTTTTTCCAAAATTGTGAGCTTTTGCCAACGTTTTTTGTCATTTAGTAAAATTCCACTTTAGCTAGTTAAGTAACGAATGTTTGACGCGAAACACTCTTTAGTAATAAAAAAACATTAAATAGTTATGTCACTTTAAGTATTAGTTTTGGACACAAAAAAGAAATCTATATATGTTTTAGGGTGTGTTTGAAGTTTGAATGTTATTTTTAAACATAATTTCTTGAGAATAAGTTTTAGTGAATAAGTAAACTTTTAATGTACAAATGTGAATGAGAATCTCACATTAAATAAAACAGTATTATAAAAGTCAAAATAACTGTGCTTTAAAGTTTTAGATTAAGATATAGTATTGAATTTATCTATTTGATTTACTTTTGACTATGGCTCAAACATATATGGATGCATGAGATCGATTAATTTTATATATCTTATAGAGCATGTTGGGCATTTTTGATTCGAATAGGATGGGTGGCATAGAAAACCAGCTGGTGGATATGATCCTTGTGCATCCGATTATACTGAAGTGTACCTAAACAGGCCAGAAGTTCAAAAGGCATTACATGCCAATGTCACAAAAATTCCCTATCCATGGACTCATTGCAGGTTTTGCTCCACCTTTCCCTTTTCTGTTTATTTATCTTTTCTAATAGTATGACATTTATTTATGTCATCAATTAACTTCAGTTTAGGGTTAACATTATATATTGCAAAAATGGTATCTAATCAACCTTAATTTGTGCTATATATATATATTAATACATAGGTGATAGGTAAATTAATTTAATCATGAGTAAAATATGTATTGATGATGTTGTCTCTTGTGGTTGTTCTTAGCGATAATATTACATTTTGGAGTGACGCACCACATTCCATGCTTCCTGTCATAAAGAAGCTTATTGCTGGTGGTCTTCGCATTTGGGTTTACAGGTACACTTGCATCATATGATATATATACTCTTTTCTGTTCTGTTTTAATCTATTTAATTCTTCGTTACTTTATTTATTTTTGAATATAGTGGAGATACCGATGGAAGAATTCCCGTAACTTCAACAAGATACACTCTTAGAAAGTTGGGACTTGGGATTGTTGAAGATTGGACTCCATGGTATACCAGCAACCAGGTAAATCAAAACCACGTTGTATTTGAGATTTTCCTTCAAACCCAAACGGTCCATTTTTATTTTCTAAAGGAATTGAATTGTTCAAAGTGTAAAAAAATCATAATTTCATTGTTTAAATAGTACTAAAAGTCTAAAATAGGATTCTAAAACAAATATGTCATTGTATCTTCATTAATCCATATATAATATAGGTTGAATTTGTGTTCAATTATTCCAATTTAAGTTTAAAGTTATGAATGAAGAATAATGTTTTGGGGTGTGACAGGTGGGAGGATGGACCATTGTTTACGACGGGCTTACCTTTGTTACCATCAGGGGTGCTGGTCATCAAGTTCCTACTTTCGCACCCAAACAAGCTCTGCAGTTAGTTCGACACTTCCTAGAAAATAAGAAATTACCATCTCAACCAATTTAATAAATTCTCTTTTAAGCTATGTTTTGATTGATGGAAAAATAGAATGCAATTTTATTATTTGTATAATTTGTAATAGAATGAAACAAATATTCCTATTTTACATTTGAAAATTTTAACGACTATTATAAAGTGCAAGAGTTCTGATTTTGATTTTATAACTTTTTTTTTCTCATTATTTTAAATTTAAAATTGTTATTTTTATCCTTTAAAATAAATAAATGTTGGTTTTGATTCTTGTTGAATATTTTTATTTGACTTTCATTCTTTGAACATCTAAAATCATTAATTTTATTTCTCAGGTACTAATCTTAACATATATAAATGAAATTTTTCACAAAATTTTAAAATCGTCACATATTGATATAACAGTAGGAACACTAATAGGTTCCACTTACACTAGTCACTTCATTTTTTATTCATCATATAAGTTCGTCAACCAGTGTAGATGGATTTAGGTTTGCAGACTGATTCAATAAACCTGTGAATGCTGTGGATAACAAATATTTTTTTAAAAAAATTTGTATAATTATATTTAATTTTTTAGTTCAATTTATGAAATTTACAAATTTGTCGGAGTTATTACAAGTTCGTAGGCTAACTTGCAAATCTTTTATTAATTAACTTTTAAGACATTAAGATTTTAATATTTGATTGTATATTTAGAATTTTAAATTATTAAAATATTAAAATTATATTTAGTTAGTATATATTGTCCTTTGAAATATTTTAAAGATATTTTAATATTTTTATTATTGAGAGTTTAAGACTATTATATAAATATTGATAATATTTTTAATCTAAACATTTTAATATTTAATATTTAAGACAATTTAAAATGTTTGTATATTTTAGCGTGTTAGTTTTTAACTTAAAATAAAAGAATTTTTTCTTTCTAGTTTATGTTTTTAAGTATTTGTTTTTCAAATCATTATTTAGACTTGTTGATCAAACTATTTATTTATGAGTTTTCACTTTTCACATGGAATAATGACTTGAAAAAAACATCAAATTGTTTTGTAGATCAAACTTGTGTGATTTGTTTAAAATATAAACTTCTCAAGTAAAACTTTATACAGGTTAGAGCAGTTTATACATTCACTTTAAACATCACATAAGAGCATCTCCAATGGAATTGCTTATTAGTAATTCCTGTGCCATATCACTGTCAAATCAGTTCTGGCCCACTTTATAGATTGCTTAAATTTTAATAGAGTTGCTTCTACAAGTAACTCTGCTAAAATTTAAACAGTCGATAAAATGAATTAGAGCTGATTTAGCAGTGACATGACACAGAGAATTGCTTATAAACAACTCTATTGCACATGTTCTAATAATAGGGACAAAAACCAATGATATAAAAAATAAGTTTTTATAAAAATTAAAATCAAGATTCATTTACTTTACATAAATTAAAAACATATTAAAGTCTACCTTTATTTTAAGTTTATTTTATTTCCTTTTCTTCATCATAAAAAATCAATGTGTCAACTAAGAAACTATATAGTCTGATATTTTTATTTTATATTTTCCAAGTGTTCGTATATCCAGTAATATGAGCTTCCAGGCCGGAAATTAAAGTTCCAGTTCTGGTTCTGGTACTTCTTCTCCTTCATGTTAATTTGTTTGGTGATATTTATTCCTTTTTTCTATTTAATTTTTTTCATCTTTTTCCCAATTTGCCCTTCTATCCCAATCCATGTGGCAATGTAACGGACACTGGAAGCCACAACCACAAGGGAAAATTATAGAATACATGCATCTTGTTGATCGGCCGCATCATAGCTCTAGATCCTTCTAACCATGGATTCATCACTATATGTACAGGAAAGTGCCCAAAATTTGCAACCGGAAAAGAAAAGGGGGGAAATCCTATCTTTGACAATTCCCCGAGATCCAACTTCCAGCGGCAACCATTCATTCATTCTCTCTTTCCTTCCCCTTTTGTTTCCTTCTACGTTGGATGAGAGAAAGAGGGTGTTAGGGTTATTTAGGGACATATTAGGAAATGCGGAAAATGAAAAACAAAATAAAAGAAAAATTAAAATATCCTGACCACCTATTTAAAAACTATTATAATCGTAAATCTTATTATATTAAATTAGAGATGTCGAATATTTCGTGTCTCTAATAATTATAAACTGATATAATATTAAAAGATTTTATATAATTATTTAAATAAGATAAAAATTTAAATTTTTATATATTAAAAGTATAATAATTTACTAAAAAATAAAAATTAAAAATAGTTATATTCTTCCATCTTTCTTTTATTAATAGGTGTACCCATAGTAAGACAATTTATTTTATCAAGTCAAATTAAAATACACAAACACGAATAAGAATGTGAAGCAACTTTAAAAAAATAAAATAAAAAGTTAAATTATATATTTATCTCTCTTAAAATATTTATTAAACTTAAATATTTTTAATTTTTTAAATTTAAGATAAATTTATTTTTAACTTTTTAAAATTAAAATAATTATTTTTAGTTAATGTAATTTTGATCCTTGCATCTTCTTCTATCACCATATCGAAACAAACTATTACTCTATTATTCTGAAGTTTATTTCATGACAATGCAAAATTTTTTATCATATTCTTTTGTTTTGCTATATGTATCTCTTAAATAATAATTTCGTTTACGATATTGTGATTATTATTAATTTAAAAAGTTTTTGCATACAACAAATATTGAATATTAAATTTCTTAAATAAATCATATTCACAACATACAAGCGAGAATTTTAACTATTATATCAAATCACGAGATTTAAAATAAATTTAACCTTTTTTCACAACTATACAAGTAATATTATAAAAAAAAACTAAAAATAAAGACTAAATGTATAAAAAAAAATTATAAATATAGAGACTAAAAATATTTATCTTAAACTATTTTTATGAGAAGATTTATCTTAAACTATAAAAATTAAAAATAATTGAAAAAGTTAAATATAAGACTAAAAATGTCTATTTTAAATTATATGGACTAAAATATAAAGTAAATTAAATTATAGGAACAAAAAATATTTTAACCTATTTTTAAATAAAGAAAAATTTGACTAATTTTATGCAAAAGCTCTAAATATTTCTGTTTAAGAATTAAACCAAATTTTAGATATTATAAATAAAGGAAATATTTTATTACTAATTATGAAAGAATCCTTATAAAAAAAAAATCTCTGAAGTGAATTATTAAATATAAACATTATTTTGAAAGTAAATTTCTTCTGTTTTGAATAATAATTATTAAATATAAAGAAAACGTCTACTATATAACATTCCTAAAATACTTTTAACTAAATAGAAAATTGTACATGAGTTTTCCGATATATTAAATAAAAATTCCTTACGAAATATATTTTACCTTAATAAATTTATTTGAAAATGAATATATGATCTTGGTGATTAATTCATTTGGCTCTTTCTAGTTCTGTCTAATCTCTTCCTGTTTAAACCAAATCTCAGGGCCAGTGCAAAGGAAGTGAGTGGGAAGAAGTTAAGGGAAATGGGTTTGTGTTCAGTTGTTTTGAATTTTGTTGTACATGTTGTGCTTCTCATCTCTTTCACCAAACAAGCTTTAGGTGTGGCACTAAACAAAGAGGTATTGGCAGAGCAAGAAGCTGACAGAGTGTATGAATTACCGGGTCAGCCTGAGGTGAAGTTTAAACAATATGCTGGTTATATCACTGTCAATGAATCTCATGGCAGAGCACTGTTCTATTGGTTTTTTGAGGCCACTCACAAACCACAACATAAGCCTGTTCTCTTATGGCTCAATGGAGGTACCTTTTCAATAAAACATCTTCATGTATGCATGCAATCGCGCGTTTTTATCTAGTATTCACCTTCATGTTTTATGTTTATTAATACACAACTCACCTCGGGAAAACTTAACGAAAAGTTTATGTTAATTTTATCATAGTATGAGTACGTATATAAATTACGATAAAGCAAGTTTTAATATATTTAAGGAGTTGGTATGTTCTTTTTCTTATTACAATGGCGTGGAGGGTAAACGTTTCAGTGTTGGTCTGCGGTTTTGCAAACATTACGTGTTTCTCATACAACGTGTAGAATGATTAATAATGATCTTATGTATAACAAGAGCAATAATAGAATTTAGTCAAGTCAGTGTTATCAAACTTGGTGGATCGGTTGATGCTTTCTCATGGTCCAAGGTATTAGAAAAAAATCAAGTTTCACGTTGACTAAAAATTAAATAATTAAATAATATATAAGTGAAAAATAACCTTTACTTTACAAGTTAGTTTTATAAGGTTGAGTTAAACTCAAATTTACTATTCTAATATGGTAACGGATCTATCCTAAATTATTAAAAAATATCACTTATCCTAAATCATTAACAAAAAGGGTGAGTGGTAAGGTTGAGTTAGAACAGAGAGTTTTGTAAGGTTGAATTAAACTCAAATATATTATTCTAACACAAGGTGTTGATGAGTGCCTAAGAAATTGTGTAGCAAGTGGTAGAGTTGAGTTACATCAGCGAGTGGTGCCATGAAGTATTTTCGGTTCTTATAACATTGAATCAAAATAAATTTAAAAAATATATAAAAAAAGAACTAAAATACTTAAAACATGATATATTTGGATAAAAAAATTTATGATGATAATTTTTTTTTGTGTGAACTTATGTCTTATACTGGAACATCTTTTTGTAAGAGGAATTCAGAAATAAATTAAAATTATTGTAGATTCCTTAATCTTAAAATTAACCTTGTACAAAATATTCTTAAAAATATTTAAATAGTATTTTAATTTTTTTTAACCATCATTTAATTTTGACAAATCAATAAAATATTTGATTTATTTTAATCGATTGCCTGACTGCCTTAATTTTTCTTCTTCTATATGAAATAGTAATAAATTAATTCATACATATATATTTTTTTACATTTTCCTGTAATAACGCATCTACTTTTTTTGTTTATTTACATAAAAAAAAATATAATATATATTTTTTGTGATTCATTATGAATCAATACATTTTTTTAGTTGCTATTGATTTTACAAACTTACAAAAAATAATTATCATTTTTTTTAAAGGCAAAGAAAAGTATTATTGATATAACAAGACAATAAACACAAATTGTGAAAATTATCCACAGTACAGTTGAAAAAATATTCTTTAACAGGACAAATTACAAGCGCATGCTCATAATACCAAAATCATGAAACAAAAACAAAGGACACGACATGCACTCCACTAAAACACCGATAGATGAAGCCTAAAACAAAACATATACGGAGAACTTAGAAGAAACAAGACCAGAAAATATCATTCAGCACCCCTTAAATCTGTCATGAATCCTCCTTCACAAGAAAGACATAAAAAAGGAATAGATTAAAGTTGCAAAGCAAGCTCCTATTATGTTTAGTAGTGGTTGTGAAAACCATTGATAAAAAGAGAAATCAGCTCCAGAAGCTTTTGCCTTCACCCACATCCATGCTATAAACACAATATCATTAAGAACATTTTGCTTGTTACAAGAGTTTTCCCTAAAATACCTCATTGCGATGAAGCCAGTAGGACCACAAAGTGGTTAACCATACAATCATCCACATCTTCTTTCTCTTTCTATTATAACATAATTCGTGATGTTGATAAAAATGAGACAATTATTTGGGAAGACAACAGAAATATTCGACCGTTTATAACAAAGTAAAACACACCTCATTTTTAACATTTACAATGTTTAAAAAATTATTTATGTTAAAATCATAATTAATGATATCCTTACAATATATGATAGTTATAATTAAATATATAGTGATCAAAAGTGTCAATCTTTTACTCTATTACAATTGTCCTTCATCGTTTAATAAATTATTTAGTAGTCCTTAGACAGGTTATATGTTTCTTGAGTCATTTAAAGTCTTATAATGCATAGGAAACTTGCCAGTTAGTGATAAAAACCATGTATTTTGTGTTAAATATTTTTTTTCTGTTATTCAAAAAATAGGAGAGGATTTAAATACCCTAGTATTTCCGATGCATGTTTTCTACTACATTATAATAAACTAGAAAAATTTAAACTTTAAAGAAATATACAAAACAATTAGAAATACGAATTTATAACTGATTGTGATACAAATATTGTACATTACTGCAATTAATATGAAGAAAATGCATGAATGTTTCAGGCCCTGGCTGTTCCTCAATTGGTGCTGGAGAAACAGAGGAGCTGGGACCCTTCTTTCCCCAAAACAGCTACCGACCAAAGCTAAAGTTGAACCCTTATTCTTGGAACAATGGTTGGTGAATCTATAATTGCTACATGCCAAAACATGGTCATTAGTATTTTTTATTATAAACATCAATATATGTACTTATTATTTAAATAAATAAAAAAACCATGTTAGAAAATGCAATGATCCTATTCCTAACCAATATGATTGCTACAGCTGCCAATCTTTTGTTTTTGGAATCCCCTGTTGGAGTGGGATTCTCCTACACCAACACCAGCAGTGACCTGGATGAGCTTGGTGACACCATTACGGCTAAAGATTCACATACCTTTATCGTCAAGTGGTTTAAGAGATTTCCACAATTTAAATCCCACAAGTTCTTCATCTCTGGTGAAAGCTATGCAGGTATCTATGTTATGAAATTTCTTTACAAAATGAATATGATATGATATGATATGATTTGTTGCCTTTCTTCATTTTAAATTAAATATGTTTTGCTTTGACATTTCAGGGCACTATGTTCCGCAACTTGCTGAGCTCATTTTCGATAATAATCGGAATCCTGCCAAGAAAGACTTCATTAACTTCAAAGGATTCATAGTAAAATTCTCTCATGTTGTCAATTATTCTTGTACCTGACATGAAACGAATATTAATTTGACACGATGACATTGGTTGTGCAGATTGGAAATGCAGCATTGGATGACGAAACAGATCAACAGGGTTTGGTAGATTACGCGTGGAGTCACGCAGTGATATCTGATGGATTGTACGATAACATTACAACCAAATGCAATTTCAGACATGAAAATCTAACAGATGATTGCGATGTAGAAATGGGTAAGCTCTTCGATGCGTATGAAAATATTGACATATATAGCTTGTACACTCCTGCTTGTTACAGAAACTATAGCAGTACCAGAAAGCAATCCCCTATAGTTAGAGGCAAACTCCCTCTAGCTTTTTCTAAAATTGTGAGTTTTCGCCAACTCTACTTGTCTTGTAGTATAATTCTACTACTGTGTTTGAATATAAGTTATAAATAATCTTGAGAACTTCTTTATTAAAAATAAAATGTTATTTTCAATAGATAATTTTTAAAAATATTTTTAAGGTTGTATTTTAAACAATTTCTATAGTAATGAGTAAACTTCAGTTAAAAAATAAAAATATAAGATAAAAGTTTTGATTTGAGCAGGATGGATGGCGTAGAAAACCAGCAGGTGGATATGATCCTTGTTCATCCGATTATACTGAAGCATACCTTAACACGCCTGAAGTCCAAAAGGCATTGCATGCCAATGTTACCAAAATTTCCTATCCATGGTCTCAGTGCAGGTTTTGCTTCACCTTTATCAATTTATGACATTTATTTATGTGATCAATTATGTTTTAGGTTAATATTATACATATTATACATTGGAAAATATCATCAAATCAACATTAATCTGTGGCATGGGTAGATAAATTTAATCATGAATAAATTAAAATTATCTCATATGGTTGTCTTTAGCGATAATATTGGAAGTTGGAGAGACTCGCCACATTCCATTCTTCCTGTCATAAAGAAGCTTATTGCTGGTGGTCTTCGCATTTGGGTTTACAGGTACACTTGCTTCATATAATATATACTATTTCTGTTCTATTTTAATCTATATAATTTTTCACTACTTTATTTATTTTTGAATATAGTGGAGATACCGATGGAAGAGTTCCCGTGACATCAACAAGGTACGCTCTTAAAAAGTTGGGGCTTGAAATTGTTCAAGATTGGACTCCCTGGTATACCAGCACACAGGTAAATAATTAATTAAAAAACATCTTCTGTTTCAGACTTTCCTTCAGAATTTTAGTTGTGAATATCTGGTCATGAATAAAATAAATGTAATAACTAATAAAGTTAACATTTCATCTTTTAAATGTTTCTATGATAAAATATGATTTTAACACGATTATGTCATTTTATTTTCATTGATTCACATATAATATATGTTGATTTAACTTATGAATAAAGAATAATCTTCTGGGGTGTAACAGGTGGGAGGATGGACCGTTGTTTACAAAGGACTTACTTTTGTGACAATAAGAGGTGCTGGTCATGAAGTTCCTAGGTTCACTCCCAAGCCAGCTCTGCAGTTGGTTCGTCACTTCCTACAGAATAGGAATATACCATCTCGACCAATCTAATCAGTTTACTTTTTTAATGTATCGATTTGAACTTTGTGTTTCACAATAAGATTGGACATTATTATTTTGGTGACTGAAAGAGTAAGATATTGTTAAGGTACTTCTTGAAAAATCAAAGTTGCAAATTATTCTTTAGATATATATTTGATTGGTCAAGTTACTCTAATTGACAATGGATGTTAATTACGCTATTAACAAATGATGATATACCATGTTAAGGATTAAGTTTTATGTTACTGGTAGCAAACTCGTACCTTCACAGAGGATAATTGATTGTATTTAAGAATTTGAATAAAAATAAAAATTATTTTAATAATACAACTTTGTCTTCATTTTAAAAATAATTTTTTTCTTTTTTATGAGTAAATAATGATACTATATGTCAAATGAACTTATAATCAAAATGATTTATTCTATTATGTACTTAATTTTGTGTATCATATATATATATATATATATATATATATATATATATATATATATAATTGTGTAAACTTTGGTTTACATCCATTTTGAGGTAACAAAGTTTTCGTTTGATGGTAATTTTGATCATTTAGAATAAATTTGGACAAACCACCTCATCATTTAATGAAGATTCAACCTTATCACTAATGAAAATATGTTATTGTATGTTATGATATTTTCCTTAAAAATGACTTCAAATTCATCAGCAATTTTGATGGTTTTTCTAATAAAGAAATTTGAACTCTTCCTTTTTAACTACACAAAGAAAATTTCACTTCATTATTCCTTTGTTTTTTTTTTTTTTTTTGCTCTTTCTTCAAACTACAATTTAACATTATAATATTGACATTGAATGGGTGATGGACCAAATTTAACTAGTTATATTAAATGATTTAAATAGACAAAGTTATGTATTTTTAAGTAGGATCAATTAATAAAATGTTAATATCAACTTAATACAAATGATTTTTTTTATCTAACTTTCTTTTTTTGCTTTTGAATTTAGTTGATTTACTAAATTGCATGCATTAGGATTTTGTGAAGGAATTTTTGAAAATAAAACATTGTCTTTGTTGACAGCAATATAATCTACAATGTATACTATATCAACATGTATGTAGTGTGAGTAAGTAATTTTTTTTTCTTCACGATTTCATTGATTTCAAATATTTATAAATGATTAAAAATGTTTTTACTTGTTTAACACGTAGTTTCCTGATTATGTTGATCTTCAAGTTCAAATTCAAAGTTCAACTTTTATTTTCCAACACATTCCAATATAGTTTTGGATTATCTAATATATTTCCCTTGACAAATTTGAACTAATGAAATTCTCACTTTTGAAGTTGATCCAAAACAACCTACATTTGGAACAAAAATAATTCACTTAATTTTTTAAACATAAGAAAAGATTATTTTTCTTATTTAAATGAGTTATCAACTTGAAACAAATGATGAATATGAGTTGAAGTTATTGAACTGCACACCAATTGACCCTATTTTGTTAACGATGAATGATATTGGTGATGGAAAATTTACGTTGCAAATTTTCTTCCTTTTTAATATGTTACAACTTGAAACACCACAACAATTATTGAAAGAACCTATTATTTTGTAAAAAAATCATAAATAACACCTCTTCAATTGAATTGAAAAAATTGTGTTCTAATTATAGTAGTGACAGAATAAACTTTACATATAAATAATGTGAATAATGAGAATAAAGTTTGTCTAAATAACAAATTTTTTTTTTAATGGTTAACTACCAATACATAAAGTTTATGTAGTTTAGACCACCCATTGTTTATAAACAATCATTCTTCCATTTGGTTGTACTCGATCGTGTGACAATTTTGTAGCCATCCATCAAAATCCATGCATGATGAAGTTCTTAGTTATAAAATATAACAAAGTATCTACTTTACCATAGTTCCTAGAACCAAGAAATTCAAATAAAAAAATTGAAAATTGAATAGGTCACACACTATCTTATGAAATATCCAACAAATAGGAAACAAATTTATTGGAAGAAGCAAATGCATCTCTTTGTTCATTATACGATAGGTAACAAGAGAAGGAAAGAAAATATTAAAGGAAAATAGAATTTTTTATGTAGTAAATTAGAAACTCCGCCTTGCTATTCTTCTTCAAGAATTATTATTATTTTTTATTACTCGTAAAATTTATTTTTCAAATAATTTTAATTATGTTTATAAATATCATTTTCGTGTAAGAAAACTTAAAGAGAGAAATTTCATATCTTACATTAAAAAACAATTCAAAATCATACTACACAATGAAAAATGATAATCATTTCCAAAGAACTAAAAATAAATTTTTTAATAAATAAAAGTAAAATATATGAATGAAAAATAATTTTGACCTATTTTCAAACAAAATAAAGGCATTGTAATGGAAAGTTTTAAAAATAAAATATTTCAATAAATCACACTTTATAAATTTTGCGATTGAAAATGAAAAGGTTTAGAAGAAAGGGTAAAGAGGGGATCTGAAATAGGGATCTTGGAAGCGAGGTTTGGTTCATCGACGTGAGAATCGTGATGGGAGGACACGGCCACGGTGAAAGCACCACCTACAAAGGTGTTACCATTCATCACCCTAAGCGCTGGCACACTGTCACCGGCAAGGGTTTGTGCGCTGTCATGTGGTTAGTTTCACTTCACTTCTTTCCTATGCCACTTTTTTGTTTCACCCTTCGTTTGCCCTAATTTCATTCATTCTATGATTCCAGGTTTTGGGTGCTCTACAGGGCAAAGCAAGATGGTCCTGTTGTATTGGTGAGTAACACTCTGTATCATAATTTAATCAATTTGTTTCACTCTCGCCCTAACAATAACATTGTTTCTTTTTCGATTTTTTCTAGGGCTGGAGGCACCCTTGGGAGGGTCATCATGATGATCATGGCAAGGGGCATTAATTAGCATTCCTCAGGTATCACACCATTTTTTAATATCTATTCCCTGCAATTATGCCCTATATGCCTCCTCACATCATTTTTACGTGTTGCTTCATAAAATCTGCTTTCTTTGTTATCTTTGGATGCATCTTGGAAAACACTAGATGACATTTTAAATCTGGGTTATTGTATTCCACAAGATGACCCCCAACCCTCTTCTGTTGTATTTGATTTAAATTATAGCCTAGACACTAGTATGAGACCTTGAATGCTAGCTGAGCGTAGTCACTAGTCTCTACTTGGAAAATTAGGATTCATTGACGCTTTATTCTGGGATTACATTGCATGATTGTTTATCTAGTGGCTGTTTTTGTTCCCAAAAAATGTGTTCACATATATTCGTATTTATCATCAATATATCATAATAAACCTTTTGATGTGACAAACTTTTGAAATTGAAGTCTATAAATAATTGTTTTTCAAATTTGATACGAAAAAAAAACATTCATATTCTTTCTTTTTCATATGATGTGTATTTGATGAAGGCTGGAGCCAAGGACATTTAGGGGCTGTTTGGTTTTACAATTTTCTATTTTCTATTTTTGCTGAAAATATAAAATGATAGAAGAGTTATGTTTGGAATGTTTATTTTCACTTTTGTTACCTAGAAATGGAAGTTTGCATTCCTGAAAATTATAAGTTTTTGCAAACAGAATGTTGTTTCAATGGCCTGCATATAATTAGGTGCCATATTTGTAATTATAAAGAATTATTTTCTTTTCCTCTCTTATTTCACATTACTTCTTCTTTGATTTTTCTTCCTCACTTCACTGCAACCCCCATGGCCTATCAAAGAAGATTGGATCTTCACTTCTTATTTGTAAGGCCCACTGAGCTCTAAGAAGAGCTGTACTCTTTGCCCATAAACTTTTGTGTGCAGTTAACTTAAAATCATGGTGTCAAAACAACAATGTAATCATGATTATCTTTTTCTCAAATGGTAGCTAGATAATGGCTATTTGGTATATGCTTCTATGCACTTGGAAATCAATGCCTTGGGCCCCCTGCACATAAGCCAACTTGAAATTTGTAAAGCAATGCCTGTTTTACATGTTAAGCTTCTTAGCTGAGCTTAAGCTGTTTTGGGTGTCTCTTAGTTTCTGCCATTGGACTTTGGAGGCAGAATCAGTATAGTTTGAAATTTGAATCAACAGTTTTTCTAGGTGAAGATGTGTTTTGAATTGGGGTTGTTAATTTGAAAACGATTGTTGAAAGGAGGAGAAGGAACAGAGTAAATCAGAAGAAAGGAACTTATTTGAATTTGAGTAAGGAAGAAACCACAGAGGAAATGAAAATAATGATAAAACGCAGACCATGTTTCTAAAAAAATGAAAATTGCACATAGAAATGAAAACAGGAAATATTTCATGAAACAAACGCACCCTTATGTTTTATTTTTGCTCTCTTCATTTTTACTTTTACAAGAGTGATTGTTAATTTATACTTATTTAATAATATACAATTTTGTGTTCTTCAACATTTGGAGATTAGGGATTGAGATTTAGAAACATGTTTAAAGCCATAATTACTACAAAAAAGAACTTGGGAAAAAAATTGTTCACAGAAGAATTTATATAATGATGATAACTTATGTATTGATTTTCTTGGCAGGCATGAACTCCAAAAACAGGAAGAAGAGTCTGTTGCTATGGGTGTGCTGTTCAAATTTTACCTTGTTTAATTCAATAAATTGGTTGTAAAAGAAGATATTTCTTTTTTTCATGATGTCATGAACATAAACTATGTTTCAGCACCTTACCTTTTAACTGGGATGAAAGTCATAGCTATGGTTGGTTCGATAATTATCCATGTCATTTTTACTCAAACTTATGGGAGTAGATTCAATATGTATCTCAACTATGATAGATGCGTGTCCACTAGTTGACAACCCAAAGTTAATATTTTATGGTGCGTTTTGTTTATCTCAAGGAACTTCATGTTGTGCTAGCTTAGCAAAATCCGGGATCTTGTTCAGATCATAACATTCAATATGAAAGAGGTCATTTGCAGAATCGTGCAAGTCGCAAAATTAGTGATAAAGATGAGAGAAATGCCATCTTGCCTTGGAAGAAACAAACGCAGGAATTGTTCAAACTGGTTTTGTTGAGAATGTTAAAAATGTTTGTACGGGTCAAGCTGGCCGGTCAGAAATCCAAGAAAAATGGCAATGATACGTGGTGTATGCGAAATTTTGATATGGTGACATCGACTCTGAATAGTGAATGACTAGCGTTCGTGTGTGTCAACCTATGCTTAATTATTTTAATGGGAGCATAATCTGTTCACCAGATAGTACTGATTTTTAAATTTACGGAACATTCTCCATTCCGAAATTCTTGAAAATCTTGCCTGTTATAGACATTTGGACCTAATTATCACAAAGCCTAAAAAGTTAAAATTATTGTAGGTCAGATAATTATGATATTCTCAGCAAAGAAGGGGGTTAAAAAAAAAAAGATATAGAATTTACCACAGGCTAAAAAAAGCCCGCATGTATCAGCACCTTTAAACCCCAATTAGCGTAATAGTTATTAAATATAGAATTTATTGGCTGATATAGGTTGGAAATTAATTTAATTGAAGAATACTTATATTTTAGAAACGGGTTATAATTGTGATGATGAAGTGGACGCATAGAATGTAAGAGTGAAAGTACGGGGTGTTTCTAGACACTTCCGTTGCCTTCTTCATATATATGCATATATTTGAATCCTTGGAGGAGAAAATAGAATAGACAGAGATCAGGAAATAGGAATGTCATACTTGTTACCACATTTGCATTCTGGGTGGGCAGTGGATCAGGCTATTCTCTCCGAAGAAGAACGAGTAGTTGTCATACGCTTCGGTCACGATTGGGATGACACATGCATGCAGGTATACTATACATAACTCTTCTCCATTAATTCTCCTTCTTTGTCATGTTGTGGAATGAATTCATGAATAACAGTGTTTATTTGTCAATCAGATGGATGAAGTGCTGGCATCCGTTGCGGAGACCATAAAAAATTTCGCAGTCATTTATCTGGTGGACATCACGGAGGTACCGGACTTCAACACCATGTACGAGTTGTATGACCCGTGCACCGTAATGTTCTTTTTCAGGAACAAACACATCATGATAGACCTTGGAACCGGAAACAACAATAAGATCAACTGGGCTCTCAAAGACAAGCAAGAGTTCATTGATATTGTCGAAACTGTCTATCGCGGTGCTAGGAAGGGACGTGGTCTTGTCATTTCTCCCAAAGATTACTCTACCAAGTACCGCTACTGAGATTCAGATGCTTACCCTCCAATTTATTCTACATTACCATTACTACTTCCTCAACTTTTCACTATAATCCCAAATACCTGGAGCAATGATACTTCATTTGAGTGGACTATGATGTTTAATTTAGTCACGCCTATGCTCCATGTTAGTTTAATGTTAATGAACATTACATTGTACACCACAATATGTTTCACCCTATGCTCGTTTATTCTTTTCACTTGGCACTATCCTATTTTATTGTGTGCTTCCAGACTTGTCTGAAACTTCACTGCTATTCACGGTAGAGCCAGTGATCTATTAAACAATCATCTAAAAATAAATAAATAAAATCTTGATTTATAATGTTTATTGCACCCCCAAATCCTGGCTCAATAATTGCCTCCACTTTTACATTTTACTTTGCTTTGCTTTACTAAAACGTCCCTGAAGCTTTCTCTGCGGAATGCCTCAGAAACAAAATTAACATATGCACTGCGATCACCTGGTCCAGGATTCTCTAGAAGGTTCACAAACTTCACATTTTAAGACAACGAATCTTGCAGACAGATTATTTTCTTTAAGTTAAATTACATTACAAAAAACCACAAAATCACTTTTCCCTTCAGAATTAAGAATACTTTTAGTCCCGAAAAAACACCAAACTTAAATTTTAGTCTTCAAAATTGAAAATATCCTTTTTGGATCATTTTTTTTTAATATAAAAAGTGAAATTTCTATTCATTATAAAAAACAAATAATAACTTCAAGAATTAAAAGGTAAGTAATTTTAAAATCATAAAAATCGGAAACCATTAATTTAAACATAAAATAAAACACATTTATCAGTTCTGTGCTGTGCTGAATAAAAAAAATAGTTTCGGACAATTTATCCAGTAAACTTCATTTTCCAATTCCCACCCTTAAATACGTTAGTTGGTGATATTGAATGTTGGGGGTAATATGGTAACACTGAGGTGAACCCACTCCAAAAGCAAGACCCTTCAAAATCCCCTTATCCTATCTTCTTCTAACTTCACTCCTTCACTTTTTCTTCTTCACTCCCTCAAAATCCCAAAACACCAAAACTCCTTTTTCTCATCACAAAAATGGCCACGACCACTCTGACAACCCTCACCCTCCGCACCCCAGCTTGTCCTACACCCTCCTCCTACCCTGCCACAAGGCCATTCCTCCAATTCCCCAGCCGCTCCGCAGCGCGCCGCGGCCGGCTCGTCGCCCCCGCGGTCGCCGCGCCGGAGAAAATCACGAAACTCGGCGACGAAATCGCCGGACTGACCCTGGAGGAGGCGAAGAGCCTGGTGGACTTCCTGCAGGACAAGCTGGGGGTGTCGGCGGCGGCGTTCGCGCCCGTGGCCGCGGTGGCCGCTCCCGGAGGCGCGGCGGTGGAGGCCCCGGCGGCGGTGGAGGAGAAGACGGAGTTCGACGTGGTGATCGAGGAGGTGCCGAGCAACGCTCGAATTGCGGTGATTAAGGCGGTGAGAGGGTTGACGAGCCTTGCGCTGAAGGAGGCGAAGGAGTTGATCGAAGGCTTGCCCAAGAAGTTCAAGGAAGGGGTTTCCAAGGAAGAAGCTGATGATGCCAAGAAGCAACTTGAAGAAGCTGGTGCCAAAATTGCCATTGTTTAGTTCCACCACCACATTCATGTTGTTTTAGTTGAGTTCACTAGTACACTGTAATTTCCTTTTATTTTGTCTGCATTTCAATTTTATTTGTAATGAGGAAATATGAGTTTTTCTTTTTTCTTTTTTATGCATATGAGGTGTTCGCTGAAATGGGGTGAGGTGAAGGGAAATGAACTGACTTAAAAATTGGAAATGGTACTCACAAGGCATCTTAGTAATGATAATTCATCTGTGATACCTATGCTTCATGCCAGTTGAATTTTAATGGGCATTGGTTTGTAGTGGATTATTCACTACGATGGTACTTAATTTCTTTGTTGATTTCAATTTGCACTATCTGAAATCATAACTGGTATTCATGGCAGAGCTAGTATGCTAAGGGGAAAGGTTTCTCAGAATCTGCACAAAGTGTGCGGCTATGAAGATAATAATTTATAACCATTACTATTTATTACGTACACAAGGGGAAATAAATTATAGAATGTTCAGTCCAGGTTTAGAGGAAATAAATTAAGGATATAAGATTATATAAAACAAAGGGGAAAGCCATTGGTACGCTTTGAGCTTTGTGTATGCCAAAGCCTTCAATATATTTTGAACTTTGTGTATCCGAAAGTTTGTCTATTTTTTGTGCATTGAAATGAATTAGAGAAACGTGACTTACACACAATCTTTATATCTGATTCACACATCAATACCATTTCTTGTTCATTTTTTTCATCTAAATCATTGAATACTCACCTATGAGAGCAATTTTTATGGAGCGGAAGAGTAAATATTATGTATATTTAATTTATTTTCTTCAATTATATGAAAAAACTTGGGAAAAAATCATTTTTTTCTGAAGATTTAATCATTTTTAAAGTAATATAAGGGACTTACAATGGTAATTCTCAAGACATGTAAAATTCTTGACAGTAAAAATTACTAGTGCTTTCTTTAGATTAGGAATAAAAACATAATAGAAAAAAAATGTCTTAATGAGAAAAAAAGAAATAGAGAAATTGCTTTTCTACTTGTTTGAATGAATAAAAAAAGAATGAAAAAATAATTAAATATTTTTAAATTAATTAAAAATAAACTTAACTTAAAAAACATGAACTATTCATTATAGCATTTTTCTAAAATAAATTCTTTTTATTTCATAAAAACTGATTTTTTAAACAAAAATTGGGAACTTTTCCCCACCCATTTCTCAGCTCATGATGAGAAAATGAGAAAATTATTTTTGTAGGAAGTCCTACAAATTTAATCTCCTTTAATTTTCATTTATCCAAACCTTAGAAAACTATTGCTTTCTTCTTATTTTCTATCTTTCTAAATAAACCCAACCAAACAGATTTTAAGGCGAGGAAGCACAATTAACTTAGAGTACAGCCACTCTATTGACACGTATAAAAGTAATGCTTGCATCATTAAAATTGTTACAAGAATGTTACATCGTGTATCTCTTGCAATACACCAAAAAGCTGTTAAACAGGCATCTAAAAATAAATCAATAGAAGAAGAAAAAATTGTAAGCATTACAAGTGCCAACCGTTGATCGAGTACCTCATAAAGTCAAGTGAACCTCAAAACCAACTGTGTTGAGGAAAGTTCAATTCTGGCACACTAATTGGTAGGAAATTTTAATTTGACTAGGCTTTGCTTTGGTTTACTGAAAAGGAAGTGGAACACCCTGGTTCTTGTTGACAATAGCCATTGCCTTGTAGCGAGTACCCATACCAATAGGAACACCTTCATCGCCTCCTTCCCAAAAGGGTGCTTCACCATCACCTACAAGACGCCAGTACCCTGTCCTCAATGACTCAGCCTGCTCCTCCGTGCAGTTTTGAAGGAGTGCCTCAACACGAAAATTTATTCCAAGCCCACCAAGAAATTCAGATTGAGTAATTGGCCCATGAACACACACTTCACCTGCATACATCTTATTAAATTAGTCAGAAACTAATCTTTACTTTTTGAGCTAAAGATCTATTTTGGTAAATTTCTCCAAAATCTCTTCTAGTAGAGAAAAATAGATACAACATATAAAATAAACTTTTATAAGTTAAAATTAGTTTATTAATTTGCTAATTTTGTAAAAATGCTCTCTATTAGCTTCTTCAAAAAATTATTTTTAATTTGTACATAAGCTAGATTTAGCTTACATAAAAGTTTAATTTGATTTTCTTTCCTTTTTTTTTTTCCTAAAAATGTTTCTGGAAATATTTATTCAAACAAACCCTAATATGTATACTTCTCATGTCTGATTCTAATCATAATACTGTGTTACAACTATAAGCATTTGGAAACACACCTGAAGCTTCCTCTGCAGAATGCCTAATGGAAGCAAAATCTACATATGCACTGAGATCAGCTGATCCGGGATTGTCTAGAAGGTTCACAAACTTGTGTTTCCGAATTGCCTGCGCAATTTGCATACATCATAGAAGAAAAGCATGAGGAAGGAAACACAATCTAAATATCAACCACCCTATCAAATGGAAATATTGCCAAGTCCAACATGTTGTGCTTGTTGTTATTAACTCAATGGTATTACAAGACAAGATAAGACAAAATTTGGAATTAGGATACAGGATACTATACTTGGGATACGTAACACAGTAAAACTAGAAAGCAAGACTTTTAAGAATAGGATGGAAAAGATGCTAGACCTGGAGACTGTCCGAGATTACTCCGTCCAAGCCATAGTCAATGATTAGAGCTCCACCACCATCAGAACTTATCCTTTCAACAATGGTCTGGGTCAACTCCATAGCTTTGGGGCAAACTTCAATTTGATTGAGTTTTGCGATCTCCTCAGGTGCAGCCCACTGGCACCGCTTTAATAGAAAGAGAGTAGCAGGTGTAGGCTGTGGAGAAAGAACAAAACGAAACCTATTCGATATATGTAAGTATCAATACACTAAACCCAGAAGAAATACAATTTCAAGAGCAGATACATTACAATACTTACGATGAATCTTCTGCCACATCAACCATTTTCTCACTCCAGCCACGAGATGCTTTCTGTAGAACCCAAAAAAAGAAATCATGCTTCAAAGAAATGTAACACCAAGAGCAATATAAAAAAGGTAGGAATTGACAGAGAAGTTGGAGTTTATTTGTTTTACAACACTTATATAAGGTATAGTATGACATGACTTAGATTCTAAAGGACATTAAGGAATAAAAGTAAAACTACAATTTGAGCAAGCTCAAACTCTTTGAAACAGAAAGTTATTGGAAATTTGGATTTGTTTAAACAAGAGGGAAGGCAACAGTTGAGGTTCAAATTTCAAACCATTGAACGCATCTTACATTTTATTCACCCCCTTGATATGCCAACCAGTAAGATAGCATTATAGCAAAGGCCTAGTAGGTAGATTAACTCAAATGAAGTGCCAGTAAAAATTAAAAAGAATAACAAAGGATAAAACCATTGAATGCTGAAGGACAAATTGTAAAGACACTAGAAGAATTATTGAAAGCATAAAATTGCAGAATTTCAAATTTCCTAACTTAATTGTGCAGCTTGATAGATGTTCTTAGATGTAATTCAACTTAACAGCACAAACATTTTATTACCTGAAACTGATGAACCGGTAGGGCATCAAAGAACTCATGCGCAATAATAATTGTTGGCGCTGGAGCACAACAAAAGCAATAACTTGGTCAGGGCATTATTAGAATATAGTTCAATAAGATATTTAATAGTAACACGGAACAGAAAACAAATTTAGAATTTCATATAAAAAAGTTGAACATCATACATATTTTATGCCCAAAAGTCTTTTTTCATTGGAAAAGCATTACATACATCCTGAAGGAACCTGCTCCAGTGTAGCATGCCATGACACAGGAGTGCCAAACGAAGACCTGGCAGTTATTTTATCAGAATCTTGACCAGCATTCTCATCATCAATGCATTTCAAGTTCTGGTGCTGAAGCTTCTGTAATGCTGGACTACATTCCACCAAGTGCACATGCAATGACTCAATGAAGTTCTTAAACTTTGAAGCACCCTACAAGAAGTTAAGAACTTTGTTTACTAGTAACTATGATATGATGCCTTCTGTATATGTAATTGAGAATGTAAAAACAAAAGGTTCATATAGAAATTTGAGCATAAAAACAAATCATACACGAAGGAGATCAGCCATGAGAGTTCCTCGTCCCGGGCCAAGCTCAACTAGATTTACTCTTTGGGGTTGTCCCATTTGCTCCCAAAGACACATCACCCAGACACCAACCATCTATGTTTGAACAAATTAGGGATTAGAAATAGAATCCTTGTGTCATTGACAAGCTTTAACTCTAGTAGATACCCCAACAGACATAATTAATTAAGAGTCTGGTTAAACAAATTTATCTGATATTTTAGTAAGAAGAAAAATTGAAATAAATTTTTTCATAAACTAAGATTAGTTTATACATAAATAAAAAATAAGATTTTAGAGATATTAATGGCTAAGAGCTTCTATAAATTAGTTTATGGAAAAACTTATATAATTTTTCTTCCTATTTTTCTCTCTAGAAGTCCTTCTAGAGAATTTTACTCAAACATGCCTGAATGGATAATTCACTTGACCTCACCTCACCGAACATCTGGCTAACTTCAGGAGAGGTGATAAAATCACCCTCTGCTCCAAAAACATCTCGATTGATGTAGTACCCAGCTTTAGGATTTGTCAAAACTTCGGACATGTACTCACCTAGGGAAATAGGGCCTCCCCGAAACTGATAATCACGAGTAACGTGAATCAAAAACGGCGAGACCCAAGTGGTAAAAATTCAATTTTTATGATGTGAAAATTGGATTAGAGGGAATTAGACAGAAAGAACCTTGATGATGCCTTTGAGGTGCTTGACGAGCTCAGAATCGGAAGTTGGGTGATGAGAATGCTCTGGCACAAGAGAGAGATTGAAAAGTTGAGTGGAAGAGTTCAATAGGAAAAGAAATGAAGGAGAATTGAAGAGAGTACCAGGTGGGTTGTAAAGGGAAGAACGGTCAATGGAGATTGTAGCAGCAGTGGTCTCTGAAGGAGAAGAACAAAGCCTTCGATAAAGCCTTGGCACTGCGTATGTGGGACGATGAAGTGAGTAACATTGGCGCAACACTTTTCTCAGCATTTCTTCTTTCTTTTTGCTTCGAAACAATCACAGACACTAATGGGTTTTATATGGAACAAGAATTAAGATTGCTCTTATATTATATTTATATGGTGGTGATCCCATTTTTCTCTCCATAGGTATTTTAATACGATTTTATGAGGCAAAAGAATAGTTCATTGATTAAAAAATAAATAAAAATTACTAAACATCTTTTATTTTTATAAGACACTCAGCATGTAGAAAGTGAGGTGTGTGCTTTTGTGTTTATATATATATATATATATATATATATAATTTATAAATGTTAAATAAAAGAGATAATAAATTTTAAATATCTCTTAAAATAAATAAAAATTAAAAAGTAATATTTTATGTATAGTATAAATTACTAGATGTACTGTAATAAGATTAAATAATTTAACTTGTTATAATATTAAAATATACATTATTAAGAGTGAAAATAATATTATATATTTATATGTATTACGTTAAGAAAATATTGAAAATTTAGTGGGGACATATGCCCCACACCTTTGCTTACATATATGTCCTTGATCATCATAGTTCATTATAATAAAATGTATTCATAGCAAAATTTCAGTGAAAAACTTCATTAAAAAATTAGAAAAATTAGATTTTTCTTACTAATTTTTAAAATTTTCTAAGAACTTAACATTATCAACCTAAGACTTTTTTTTTTACTTTTTTTTAATTCTCTTTCACTTTATTAAAAAAAGTAAATTATATTTCTATACCATTAATTATTTTTTCGATTAAACTCCTATCATGATTTGTACCTTAAGTGTGAAAGAAAAATGATTATCATTTTACATAATGTGTATGTTAGTAATGTTACTATCATAAACTAGTTGTGTGACATTAAAAAAATTAATAAGTTAAGTTTATTAGTTCTCGTCTTAACTTGAATTATCATGGTAATTTTTCATTTTTGAGACTTAATGAATTAGTGTATTTTTAACGTATAAATACTTGGAAGAAGAGATAATATTAAGCAAGATTTGTTGTAATTTTAAAAAATTGACAAACTGATGATGAAAATGTGGAATGTTGGGTTGATTTACAACTTGTAGTCAATGAGGTTCAATCACAAGGAACAGATTTGCATCCCTTTCTTGTGGGATTGTCATCAACTCATCATTTAGTAGAACTTCGTTTCTAGGTTAGGATTGCATTTTATGTACATGAATAAAGCATTAGGGCATTATTTTTCATGATTCACTTGTTTAAAAAGTCATTCTAATATAAATTTACTTACACTATTCACTTTGTCTCTTTCATTGTCTTAATTTTAACTTTTAATCATTATAATAAATTATTAGTTTTTATTTTTATACATGCATAAAACGTCAAGTTTTAATATGTCATTCTTTATGATAATGTTATAAAAATTATTAAATGAAAGTTTTTATGGGATTTTAACAATAATTTCATCAACTTAACAACATTATTTATTAATGACAATGATAATAATATAATAATATCTTATTTATGATAAATAATTTATATTATGATATAAACTTACTTTTACTTATTAATAGTTTATTTTAAAAATATTAAAATTTAATTTATAAATAAATATGATGAATAAAAATTGAATAAGATAAGAATTTAAATTATTCTGAAAAACCTCTTATTAAAAATAAAAAAAATCTAAAAATACTTTCATTAAAAATAAATTCCTAATAATATTATCACTCGAAATAGTAAATCGTGTTTAGTTTATAAAAACAATTTTAATTAAAATTGATTTTTTTTTGGTTTTTTATTTGCATATATTTCTAAAAAAAATTCATCTTAAAATAGTTATATATATATATATATATTTATTTATTTTTAATTTTTAAAGAACATAAAAATTTGATGTGGACACAACAATACTTATAATTTAGTATTTTGTTTTTTAATTTTCAATAATTATTTTAACTTATGTAAATCATTTGTGATATAGTAACATATTGCTCCATTTAAAATATCATTTAACAAAAAAAATTTCTAACCGACAAAAATTAAATAAACACATAAAAATTATAGAAACTAAAATAATCAAAATAATGGGCAATTGCATTTTTATCCCTTAACTATAACAATTATAACAATTGTGCAATTAAATAATCAAAATATTATAGAAACTAATTTTAATTAAATAATGAATGCTTAATAATAATAGCTTAAATATGTTATTAATAAATTTTATTTAAATATTTTATTAAATAATTTATAAAAATAAAAGGATTAAAATTATAATTTAATCGATATTTTTCAGTTTTTAAAATTAGTATATGAGAAAAAAAAAATATTTTGACCAATTAATCAAACAAACAATATTATTAGTTAATGATTAAATTCATTAATGTTGGTCAAGGCTATACTTAAAAAACATATTTTTCTTCTACCAAATCTTATTAAAAAATTACAGGAAAAAAAATAAAGAAAACAAGAAATAATTAAAATATAATTCAACAAAAATAAAAAATAAAGGAGACATATAAAAATTATATATATAT